TGGGCCGGTGTGAGTGAAGATGAGCATTTTGCTGGAGTGTGACAGGCTGCCTGCTTTGGATCTATTAAGTATATTGGCTTCTCAGAGGCAGCAGAAGTCAAGGCACCGAAATGAACATGTGTTTCAGCCATGTAAGCAGTGTACCACGCCGTTGCCAAAAAGTGACGTTCCAGCGACAGAACAGTCTGTAACATGCGGGACAGTTTATCGCCCAGGAACGTGTGGCTGGATTCTGCATTTTTTTTATATTAAATCTTGTTTCTATTTCTCGGTTGGCAGGACATGAGTGAGTTCTCCAACATCTGTCCTGGTGAGGGTGGTAGCGAGGACGATGGCCGCCCAGCCACCTGTCTGTCCTTCCCAGGGATCCTGGGCTCGGACCCAGAACCTGCTCCCCCCGCCCCTCCCATGGGTGTGACCTGAGATGTGTGTGGTCCCTCGTCTGACTGGTCCTGCACGTCACGTGACAGGAAGGGACACTTGCACTCGCGGGCACTGAGCCGAGGTCTGGGGTGCAGGTGAGAATCATATCAGCTGACTCCCCCAAGCATGTTGTTGATGTTGGTTGGACTTGGAGGATGGATGCCTGGCTACTGGGACTGTCCCTGGGATCATGGACTAGAGATGCATTTCTAAGAGACTGTGCCAGCAGGCAGTGCCTCTCTGACATGTGAGCACAGATCTCAGCCCAGGAACGAATGCAAAGCCTTACACAGTCCATCGGGAGCGTCTCAGGATGCAAGGGACCGGTTTGCACTGCAATCTCGCGTTCCACATGGCCTCTGTCTTGGAATTCACCCAAAACAAGGAAACTACACGCATTCAAAGTCTTCTGCCTCCTTGTTTCTGAAAGAGTTGGATAGTTGCTGAGTGACATGGGGAGTTCCTAGGTCAGACTGTTCTTCCTTCAAACACAACAAGGAACAGAAGCTTGGCCTCCCCTGACACCCTGCTCTCCCCTTCTCCCCCTGCAGGGCCCCCATCTCATGCCTCTGTTCTTGAAACGTCGTCAGCTGCCCATGGGAAGCCAGTGTTCTCTGAGGGGTGTCCGTACTTTTCCTGGTGGCTGAGTTCACCCCGCCCCTGGGACTATAGACCCACTAGTGACACTAGGACAGGAGAGCAGGAGGCGGGACCTGGGAGCTGGCAGGCCCTGTGACAGCAGGTGACAGCTGAGGAGTGCAGAGGGTGCACCCGGTCCCCCAGGTGGGTCCAAGGGGACTCACAGCTGTTACTCCGAAGTTCAGGTGCTACTGTTCCTATAGAAGCCGGCCGGCCCCACCTTCCTCTCCCCACACGGACGGGTTTCCAGGATGGGGACCCTTCAGGGCTGACCGGGTCAGCGGGTGCAGGCGGGCACACGGGGCCTGTGCCGTAAGGAAGGCACGAGGGGTCCCTCCGCAGGAGCACACGGGCACCGGACGCTCGGAGGCTCCTGGTAAAGTCACCGCGGTTTTCTTCTAGGCGGTGGACTCGGAGCTGGTACTGGTCCCTGTTGGTCACGTAGGTCCCGTTTTGTTGGGGGCGGGAATGCGATTTTGCAGGAGGTGGCACCAGCAGAGATTAGTTTTCACAAAGCACCTACCCGTGTGTGAGGGAAGATTGAGCTCTGATTTACTTGCGGGACAAACTGTGCTAGAGGAGAAGGGGGGGAGGGTGGAGAGGAGGGGGGCAGGGGGAGGGGAGGGAGCGTGCTAATCGTAGGAATAAAACTTGTGCTCTGTGGTTCCCTCTGAGGTTAAAAAACGTGGACAGTCGTCATGTGGAGAACAAAAACTGGCCACTGACTGCAGTAATCCTTCCGTGTCGTCTTTCTCTTCTACCTCTGCCTTCCTAGGGCGACGGATATTTTGTCAAACCCCTTGACGCCCTGAGCACGTGCACATGTGGCGAGACCTCAGCCGGGGCTGCCCTGGGTCCTCACCTGGGCAAACAGGGTGGTTCCCCTGCAGTTTTGAGGGTTGAGAGGAGCGGTTAGAGCTCCCAGCTCCCTGCCCTCTGCGCAGGGACCTGGAGATGTGATTTGTCGATGATCTGACTGCCTCCAGCCCTGCCCCTCCCCCCCTTGATGGCTTTGTTTCACCTGCTGACATGAACTTGGCTGGAATGAGTGCGCTATTGGCCGCGGGTGAATTAGTTGCATGTGCGACGACACCTTTCTGCTGTCTTCTTGTTATTCTCAGAGCTGGGCAGTGGGACAAGCATGTTATTTCTGGAATCAGATGTCCCCTTCCCAGGCTCATGCTGACACGATTCCTCTGTCCCGGGGGCCTCGGCGTGGCTGATGGTTTGACTCAGGGACGGGCTGCCCTTGCCGCCAGCACATATGTCAGAGAGCAGGCCTGCTGGTTACTCTGGGAGGCAGGCGGGTTGGACTAGACCAGTGCGCGGTGGACCGCGTGGGGCTGCCTCTTCCGTGCAGGCCGTGTCCTCATCTCACATCACCCTCTGTACCCGACGTCACCGTGCCCCCTAAATTGGGGAGGGGAGATGTGTTAGGGGAGGTGCGGTGTGGATTCCGGCATGTTCTGTGTGGACACCGGCTTTGATCTCAGGACGGGGCCCCTTGGAGCTGGCATGAGGCTGTGCCCCTCACCTGCAGGAAGTAGGTTGCACCCTGTGGCCACGCAGTTGCTGATTTCTGTGCGGGGGGAACACTTAGGATCCAGGCTCTTAGCTGCGGGTGCTCCCTGCAGTGCGCGCGGACTGAGCACAGCTGAGCGCGGGTCTCCGGGTGCTCCTCCCCGATGCACGGTGCGTGGTGCCCCGGCCCGCAGCACGCGTTCCTGTGCTTCAGGAGCTCAGTCACCGTGTAATCATCCAGAAACAGAATTAATCGAGAGCCTAGGCCCTCTGTGTCTGGTTCAGTCCAGCTGATGAGCCAGTCACACATGTCGTTTGTGCTGCGTGTGCCACTCAGAAACAGTGGTAAACAGTGTCCGTCGTGCGTGTCCGTCAGCCCTGGTGCCCGGATTAAAGGCTGTGTAACAGCGGGAAAGCCGGGGGAAGCGGACCCTGGGGCCGGGTCAGGCCAGCGTTAGGGTGGAGGTGGCGTAGAGGCGCCCTGGGAGCTCAGTGGTGTCCGACTTCTCCGCTGCCCCCCTGGCCCCCCCGTGTCCCTGGGGTGCGGGCAGCTGGCTCGGCCTCGGGGCTGTGCCCACCGAGAGCCCGGAGCCTCTGTGGCTGCTACGCTTCTTGTGTCCCGTGGTCCCGTGTCAGTCACTGTGGTCACCTGACCAGCGTCATGCTCCGTGGGCCTGCGGTGGGAGCAGGCAGGGAGGTGAGGAACGGAGGTCTTGCACATAAGCCTGGCTTCGGGTCGGGGAGGTAGGCTGAGTATGGAAAGCCCGAGAGGCCACAGAGGTGTTCACCGTGTTCAGAGAAAGGGCAGGACAGGTGTGGCGCCGCATCTCCGTAGGACGGCCCTGAGCCCTCAGCTTGCGCTCCGACCGCGTGTACAGGTGACGGTGGCTCCCTTCAGCGCAGCTGTTCAGGAGGAACAGGAGGAGCGGGTAGGGGTGGGGCTGAGGTTCCTTCCTGAGGCCAAAAACGCAATGACTTCCTCCTCTGCCAGCCCTCATGGTGTGTTAGGGGAGGGGGGAGGTGAGTTAGGGGAGGTGTGTTAGGGGAGGTGTGTTAGGGAAGATGTGTTAGGGGAGGTGTGTTAGGGAGGTGTGTTAGGGGAGGGGAGGTGTATTAGGGGAGGTGTGTTAGGGAGGTGTGTTAGGGAGGTGTGTTAGGGGAGGGGAGGTGTATTAGGGGAGGTATGTTAGGGGAGGTGTGTTAGGGGAGGTATTAGGGGAGGGGAGGTGTGTTAGGGGAGGTGTGTTAGTGGAGGGGAGGTGTGTTAGGGAGGTGTGTTAGGGGAGGGTAGGTGTGTTAGGGGAGGTGTGTTAGGGGAGGTGTGTTAGTGGAGGGGAGGTGTGTTAGGGGAGGTGTGTTAGGGAGGTGTGTTAGTGGAGGGGAGGTGTGTTAGGGGAGGTGTGTTAGTGGAGGGGAGGTGTGTTAGGGGAGGTGTGTTAGTGGAGGGGAGGTGTGTTAGGGGAGGTGTGTTAGGGAGGTGTGTTAGGGGAGGGGAGGTGTGTTAGGGGAGGTGTGTTAGGGGAGGTGTGTTAGGGGAGGTATTAGGGGAGGGGAGGTGTGTTAGGGAAGGTGTGTTAGTGGAGGTGAGTTAGGAGAAGTGTGTTAGGGGACGGGAGGTGTATTAGGGGAGGTGTGGTGTGTTAGGGGAGGTGTGGTGTGTTAGGGGAGGTGCGGTGTGGATTCCGGCATGTTCTGTGTGGACACCTGCTTTGATCTCGGGACGGGGCCCCTTGGAGCTGGCATGAGGCTGTTCCACGGAACCCTGGCCCTCTGCCCCTCACCTGCAGGAAGTAGGTCGCACCCTGTGGCCACGCAGTTGCTGATTTCTGTGCGGGGGAACCCCTGCGATCCAGGCTCTTAGTGCCGGTGCTCCCTGCAGTGCGCGGACTGAGCACAGCTGAGCGCGGGTCTCCGCTGCTCCTCCCCGATGCAGGGTGCGGGGTGCCCCGGCCCGCAGCACGCGTTCCTGTGCTTCAGGAGCTCGGAGCTGTGTGAAGGCCACGGGAACCCTAAGCACCAGGGACGCTGCAGACACAGCAGGTCCCTCAGGGTGCTGGGAGGCCTGTTTCCTGGGGCACCGTCGGGTAACTGGCACCGCTCCTTGGAGAGGGACTGGGCGGCCTCGGTTGGTCAGTCAGTGTCAGTGCCGCCCCAGGGGCGGGCGCGCTCCGTCGCTGGGGCTCTGGTGGATCCTGGAAAGTCACAGGTGCGGCCCACGCCCCGGCCCCTGCCCAGAGGACGGCCCCGAGGCCGCAGGAGCCCAGGAGGCTGGCTGAGCGGGGGTATCGGCGGCACTCAGTGCGGCTGTGCCAGGGGCGCTTCCTGCGACACGCGGGCGGGCATCCGATGTGGGGCCGGCCCACCGGGCAGGCTCCCAGGCTGCCAGCAGATGTGAGTCATGGCTCTTCCTCCTGCAGGAGAAGCCCTACAAGTGCTCGGACTGCAGCAAGGCCTTCAGCCAGAAGCGGGGCCTGGACGAGCACCGGAGGACGCACACCGGGGAGAAGCCCTTCCAGTGCGACGTGAGCCCGCCCTCTCCTTCCTGTCCCGGTCCTCCGCGTGCGTGCGCCTCCGTGTGTGTGAGTGTGTGTGTGTCTGTGCGAGTGCATGCATCTGTGTGTGTGCACGAGTGTGCATGTGTGCCTGAGCGCATGTGCATGTGTGTATCAGTGAATGTGCGCCTGTGTGTCTGCATGTGGGCATGCATGCCAATGCATCTGTATATGCATGAGCATGCATGTGTCTGAGTACATGTGTGTGCATGTGTATCTGAGTGCATGAGTGGGCATGTGTGTCAATGCATCTGTATATGCATGAGCATGCATATGTGTCTGAGTGTATGTGATGCATGAGTGCGCATGTGTGTCTGAGTGCCTGTGTGTGTGCCTGTGTGTCTGAGTGCATGTATATTCATGAGTGGGCATGTGTGTCAACGCACCTGTGTGTGCATGAGCATGCATGTGTGTCTGAGTACGTGTGTGGGTGTGTATGTGTCTGAGTGCATGTATATTCATGAGTGGGCATGTGTGTCAACGCACCTGTGTGTGCATGAGCATGCATGTGTGTCTGAGTACGTGTGTGGGTGTGTATGTGTCTGAGTGCATGTGTATGCATGAGTGGGCATGTGTGTCAACGCACCTGTGTGTGCGTGAGCATGCATGTGTGTCTGAGTACGTGTGTGGGTGTGTATGTGTCTGAGTGCATGTGTATGCATGCGTGTGCCATTTATGCTGTTTCGGCCCCAAGGCATTTTGTTTAAGAGGTTTAATAGGAAATTGTTGATATGTCCATTCGGGCGAGAAATGAATTGTTGTCAGTTGTTCCTTAGAGATGTTTGGATGCGGCAGCAGTGGGGAGGGAGGGAGGTCAGTGTGCAGAGGACACACGCGAAGGGCAGAAACTCTTGGGAACTGGATTTAATCCCCCTTTGCCGGACGTTAACTGCCATTCACTCCAGGAGCAGTGCGGCCTGCGGTGCATGTGGGCAGCATGTCCCTGTACAGGTGGCCTGCGTGCCTGCAGGTGTTTGGGAACAGGAGCGGTGTGGCCTGCGGCGCATGTGGGCAGCATGTCCCTGTACAGGTGGCCTGCATGCCTGCAGGTGTTTGGGAACAGGAGCGGTGCGGCCTGCGGTGCATGTGGGCAGCATGTCCCTGTACAGGTGGCCTGCATGCCTGCAGGTGTTTGGGAACAGGAGCGGTGTGGCCTGCGGCGCATGTGGGCAGCATGTCCCTGTACAGGTGGCCTGCGTGCCTGCAGGTGTTTGGGAACAGGAGCGGCGTGGCCTGCGGTGCATGTGGGCAGCATGTCCCTGTACAGGTGGCCTGCATGCCTGCAGGTGTTTGGGAACAGGGTCATTGGTACCTTGTGGTCTCTCCTAGGTGTGCGACCTGGCTTTCAGCCTGAAGAAAATGCTGATCCGACACAAGATGACGCACAACCCCAACCGCCCGCTGGCGGAGTGCCAGTTCTGCCACAAGAAGTTCACGCGGAACGACTACCTCAAGGTGCACATGGACAACATCCACGGCGAGGCCGACAGCTGATGGCGGGGCCGCGGAGGGGGCCCTGGCGGAGCCCAGCTCTCCCCGTGAGCGTGGCAGAGGCAGCCAGCAGCACGCACTGGCCTCACAGCCCTTTGTGCCGACCTTTAGAGCCTGTAGACACACCTGCAACAAGAGAACAGCCCACTCTACCAAGAAATGGTGCAGATGGGAAAAAAGACAACTTTGTAGCCCTACACAATAGACTTGTGCTCTGTTCCTATAAAAATGGAAGGAGAGTCTCGTCCTTGGCCATCTCCATCTCGCTGATGAAGGTTATTCACATGCACACTGTTAGGCCTTCCTGTTATGCTGTGTTTGCGTGTGTGTGCGTGTGTGTGCGTGCGTGTGCGTCAGTGTGCATGTGTGTTGTCTGTGTGTGTCTGCACGCGTGTGTGTGTGCACGCGTGCATGTGCATCAGTGTGCATGTGCGTTGCCTGTCTACGTCTGCATGTGTGTGTGTGTGTGCGTGTGCGAGGGCGCGCCGTGCACATGCCGGTTATTGCCCCTGGTTATTGCTAACATAGCCATAAGGAAATTCAGATTCTCAAGACTCCTCACTGTGGACGGGATGCGGGCCAGGTCCCACGTGTCCACACGATGGCCCATGGGACTCGCTGTTACCAGGGCCTGTGAAATGGAGCAGGTGTTGCTCCTATGCGACACCTCCCGGCCGCAGGTCAGTTTAAAATAAAGAGGCAGCTGAGCGCTCACACCCCACGGCACTGCTGCTCGTTTCCAGCAATTCTGAGGAAACGTGACTGCTCCCGTCACGCAGACGCAGGCACTCACTGTGCTAAGATCTGCACAGGAGCGGCCACAGCAGTGACACGCTCACCAGGCGGGGGCCTCCTGAAGTGAACACACGAGCAGACGTACTGAACAGGAAAGCAGGAGGGTGGCCCACCGGGGCGGCGGGCGGCGAGGGGCAGTGTCCGACGGGGACCGAGCCCGCCCTCCCGCTCCACAGCCAGCGGCTCTTCCAGATCCGAGTCCTCAGAGCAGAGACATTCTGTCTGGGAAAGGACACTTCTCGGAAGCCTGGCCGTAGCGATTCTCAAACACGTTTGCCTTACTTTCGACCTTCCTGTGATACTAGGAATCCACAGGATTGGCACGGTCACGGATGCTGAAGGGAACTGGAAGCCAGACGTGTGTTTCTCCCTTTAGGTTCCATTTCAGAGAAATAGCTGAGAGCAGCACAGAATGCACAGCTTGTTTTGGGAGAAGAGATGAGAAAATGTGATAGTGATTTCAAGGAGCATATACGACAGAAACCAGAAACAAATTAAAATGAAGCCCAAATTCTGAACCCATCTATTTGGAGCCGTAGAGAGGAAGTGTCATCCTGAGAAGTTACTCGGTTCTAACAATGTAGGGAGGAAGGCTACCTGAACACACAATGCTTTGTAGTCAGTAACCTCATTTTAGAATTCTATTCATGCTGTGTTAGTTTCGAAGGGAAAAAAAAAAGACTCCATGTGGACACTTCAGCTCGTAAAATACGAAATTTGGAGCTCGCCGGAGATAACTTTAAAACATGTACATTCCCAGATGATCGTTTAGCTGTCGAAGGGTGGCTCTGCAGCGTTTTGTATCTGAAATTATAGACTATTTCACAAGGACGGACTTGGTCTCGTTTCTCCTGTCGTTTGTTTGAGCGGCATATTTTTAGATCCTGTGTTTTCGGGCGCCCACGGCTGCGCTCCCACCGCCGCACATAAAGGGACAGCTGCATGGCTGGCGGGGCGCGTCAGAGAACATCTGCCTGGGGCTGGGGTGCTGCCTTCCCCCGCGGGTGCTCCCCGCCCCACGATGCGGGGAGGCGAGGAAGGAAGCCAGATACCGGTGGTGTGATCGATCGCAACACCTCCCGTCGGGGCCGCTGCGGAAGCCACCCCTGAAACCACGAGTCACGTGAGCGGGAAGAGGTGCTGGGCCTTCCCAGGCTGGAGGTCGTGTCCTGGAGGACACGGCAGACAAAGCTGTGGCCTGACCTGCCTCCGCCTGTTCGAGGCCCTGAGAACCGGGTGTGGTCCCCGTTCCTCCAAAGCACCCTATTGAGAAGCATTTCGATCTGTTAGCCCTGGGCCCTTAGCATGGCCGTTCTGCGGGTCCGATGGGCGTTAAGAGCATCGATGGGTGTCGAGGAGAGGCCTGCAGGCGAGTAGCAGGAAGGGAGCCGCGCTGAAGAAACCTTCTCCTCTTCCCTGCTCCCTTCCTTTCGCAGGAAAGGGACAGACGCAGGAAAGGGACAGACGCAGGAAAGGGACAGACGCAGGTCGCACGGAGTCAGAGCTCAGTGATTCCAAGAGGGATTCAGTACTACGGAGGGGCCCGTGTCCTTCTTTAATTATTAGCTTTGGCTATGGGCACTCAAGGTCTTTGTGGATGTTGAATTCTGTGTTTCATAGTCACTGCCTTATTTATTTTCCTTTCCTCCCCCTCCTTCCCCCTCCTCTCTTCCTCCTCCCCCTTCTCTTCCTCTTCCTCCTCCCCTTCCCCTCTTCCTCCTCATCCCCCGATTTTCAGTCATTGGCTAACGAGAGCACTTTATAGATTAATCATGACTGGCAGTTGCAGCATAAGCATATGCGTTGGGGATTCATTCTTGGGGTTGCACAGGACAGTTCACACGCTGCTTTTAAGAAACATCTATATCACGTGTGCGTGCGTGCATGTGTGTGTGCACCGGTGTGTGTCTAGAGAGAGTCATTTTATGCGAAGCTCACACATGCAAGTCCATTACTTTGCTCCAGACTCTTCCTATGGCAGTGGCCTCACTGCTGAGTGTGAGCCAGGGTCCCAGAAGGCCCTGCAGCCTCTTTGGTGTGTTACATTGTTGCACTGCCCCCTCTCCCAGAGCAGGAAGGGAGGGAGGGAGGGAGGGAGGGGAGAGAGGGAGGGAAGAGAGGGAGAGAAGGAGAAAGGGAGGGAGGGAGGGAAGGAGGGAGGGAGGGAGAGAAGGAGGGGAGAGAGGGAGGGAAGAGAGGGAGAGAAGGAGAAAGGGAGGGAGGGAGGGAAGGAGGGAGGGAAGGAGGAAGGGAGGGAGGGAGGGAGAGAAGGAGAAAGGGAGGGAGGGAGGGAAGGAGGAAGGGAGGGAGGGAGGGAGGAAGGGAGGGAGGACAGGCACTGGAAAGACTCATTTTACCTTCGCTGATGTGTTGCTTGGGAAGTTTGTCTTGTGGCTGTGAATATGTGGCGATAAGTAGGTCGGAGGAAGTGTGCCTCTGAGCAAGAACATCCTGAGGGTCCCAAATTCAGGGGGGATAGAAGTTACGCTTAGGTTTTAGGTATTCCTACTTTTTTAAAGTCGTATTTCAGCATCTTGGTGTCGCTTCGATCTTGAGAGGTGTCCCTGTTACAAAAAGGAGAATCCTCGCCATCCTCATGCCCTCCCCGTGTGGACTCGCACACCCTGCATTCGCTCATCCAGCGTCCATCTCCGAGCGGCGGGGTGCCGTCCTCTGCAGCCGGCCTCACTGCCTGGACCGCCTTGGGCTCAACACGATGTCGTCAGGGTTTGTTGATGGGCTGTGTGACAGCGTGAGAGCTCTCTCGGGAGCCTTCCGCCGGGGCCCTGTCAGCATCCTGGATTCCTCCGCCATGAATGGGACAGAATGCAACAGCTTTCTTCTACTACCACGGGTCCAACTTTATTTCCTTCCCTGAGAAAAATGCTTAGCACGATGCTGTAAAACAGATGTTTATATTCCTTACTAAAGAAGCTGCCTCACTGTTGGATAGCATGTTTAACGTCCTAATCCTGCAAACATTGAGGCAGTTAGAATAAACTTTTGTTCCTCGGGCCCGCATAATACACAGCAGGAGAAAACTGATCTAAGATTTTAAGTAATGTTGCTCATGTAGAAGCTAAAGATTGAGAAAGGAATAAGATCACTGAAACGATCCTCTAAATTAACGTGAAGGAGTTCGTGCAAAATACCACTGTTTCTTGCAAGAAACACGGTGGACTTACCGGAAGTTAATGACATCAGCAGCCCCTAAAAGTCCACCTGCCGCTGCTAAATAGTCTAGAAATGAGAGATCCCAGCTCACAGTGGCTCCAGTGCCTCCCATCCCTTCATTTCTCAGGTGTGTCTTGGGGAACAGCAGCCGATGCCCTGGCCTTCCAGCTCGTTCTGACATCTTTTACGTTTTTAAAGGGCGGATCTGTTTTTCTCCCCCGGTTTCTCTGAGAACTGTTGAGTATATGTCAGCTTTCGGTGTGTTTCTAATAAACAAGCTGGGGTGGGAGTTTTCAGTCTGTGGGGATGACTGCCTTGCCCCCTCGACTCCTCGGCTTCCGCGTGGCCGGCTGGCAGCTGGTAGGGGGGTCTGTGCTCAGAGAGGAATATGTCCTTTTTTAAAAAAAATACATTCCACTGATTTTTCACAGAGAGGAATGGAGAGTGATAGAGAGCTAGAAACATCAATGAGAGAGAGAAACATCGATCCGCTGCCTCCTGCACACCCCCCCCCATGGGGGTGTGCCCGCAACCAGTACATGCCGTTGACCAGAATCGAACCCGGGACCACTCAGTCCGCAGGCCGACGCTCTATCCACTGGGCCAAACCAGTCAGGGCGAGGAATATGTCGTTTACCCCTAACATGCGAATGGCATCCGCACCAACATGTAAGTCTGACCAAAGCCTGACACTGGGTGTAATCCAAGACCCGTTTGTATGGGATGGCTCTCACTGACCCACAACCTACACACAGCAAAGGGGATTCCCTAAGGCGTGTTCCAGAGGCCTGGGGACCAGGTCACCAGCACATCTGCAGGATCTGAACGCACACCCCCTGTTCCTGGGGTTTGATTGTGGGGCAGCACATCCGGCGCTCATTCTTTAACCTGATAAAGCGGCCCGCAAACGGAGGTGCTGGGCTTCCTCTACGCTTTTCCTTCCTGAAGTAGGTGTCGGCGTCTGGGAAGCCGAAGTGCCTCGGACGGTCCGAGACTAGCTTCCTCAAATGGAGGCAGACGGGTTCCTGCTAAGCGGGAACTAGCAGCATGCAGAGGGGCGTGATGCCACACGTGTTGGCTCCTGAAACTTGGGCGTAACATGGCACACAGATGAGTCTTACAGAGTACTAGGATCTTGGTGCGTGAATTCATCCAGCCCGCCCACACTGACTGGGGCTGAATAGGCTGAGCCGATTGGGCCGGGCCGGCCGTGGGGAGGGGCCTCAGGCAATTGGCTAGCCAGCCCTGCCCCCTGGTCGAACTCCCAGTCGAGGGGACAATTTGCATGTTAGCCTTTTATTATATAGGATTATATGCAGTAAGTAGGGATTCTGAGAAATCAACTTGTGTGGACGTTGACCAGTCGCTGCTGTGACTGTCCTAGGTTTATTTGATTATTGAAACGTAGGCAGCCCTCCCCTGACCTCCCCTGTGGGGATCAGGGCTGCCCCACAGCTGACGGTTGGGAGCTCACCTTCTCCCCCATCAGAGTGTGGTCCCCACGGTGTCCGACTGGGCCCCGAGGTGGTCAGACCGACGGTGGTGTGAGATTCGCTGCAGGAACTGGCCCGTGGGCAGTGAGGCTGAGACTGAGGCCGGCCGGTGCTCTGCCTGGGGCAGGGCCTCTTCTCCGGGAACCTCAGTATCCGCTCCGTGACCTTCCCGGGTTGGATGAGGGCCACGCAGCGCTGAGGGAGCCTCCCTCACCCAGGCAGCGGATCACAGCTGTGGTCCCACCCACCAGGCCCTGCCCAGCAGCCAGGGAGTGACGGGGTCACCCAGCCCAGCAGCCTGGCCCGGCTGGACCGCCACACCCCACACGGACGTGGGCTTCCCGTGTGACGTGGGCTGCTTCCCGTGTGATGTGGGCTTCCCGTGTGACGTGGGCTTCCCGTGTGACGT